AGCTAAAGTTGAATTTTTAGAGAAATATCAGATGGAATAATTTATTGTCCAAGAAAAAACATTTTCATGAAAAAATTAGCATATGTGGCACTGATAATATACTCACTTCAAAAACTACAATCTATAATAAAACTTATCATAGCTCTCATAGAAATTAAATCATGATATAACATGCTTTCTAAAAGAACACAGAGGATCAAGTGAACAGTAAATTGGTTGCTAAGCACTTGTATTAGATGATCACCTTTTTGAAAGTCCTTTTCTATGAACTATAAGTGCAGATATCAGATAAACTAGAAGATAAACAGGTAGTGCTCATTTGTACGCTTGAAGGAGAAAACTGAGGATATGTCCACAGCATGATTGATTCCCATGTACAATCTGCAAAATATCATTGATTTTAAATGCCAGAAAAAGGGACACAAATCACAATTGTCTATCAGTGCATTGTCTATCCTAGTGAACAAAATTTAGTGACACAAATCACAATTGTCTATCTAGTGACACATTTAAAACCGAAATTACACAATGCACGGTAAAGTTGAACACAATGAAGAAAAAAAGAATCAATGCCATTAGTCACATTAAACACAATGCACAGTTTTGATAGGGCCAAGAAAAGAAAAGAAATTTGTATGTTTTCACCAAAGTGAAGACAACAACACACATCAGACAAAACCCAACTCAGACCCTCAAAACAATATGGACCAACCCACTCAACATAGAAATCAACTAAACGAAACCATCAATACTCAATCCACCCAAAACACATCAAAATTAAACAAAACAGTCCAGAATCGAGAAAAGTGCATGCAAGAAATCATATCAAAGTAGAATAATATGAAACACTAGGCTTGACCCGTGGCCTCCCTGACTCACCTTTAGGTCACAACAAACTCAATGGCCCCATGGGGGGTGGACTGGACCGAGGAGAAGCGGTGACTGCAGCAGGTGGTGACTGCAGTCGGCGTCGAGGTGATTCTCGTTCTGGGTTACAACGATGCTCGTGATAGGGGGCGACAGGGGGTGTGGTGGCGTGGTGACCTGGAAGTTAATCTGCGGCTGGGTTTCGCGGTGGCCAGCTATGGACAGTGATGCGCGGTGGTTTGGGGAAAAGGGAGAGATTCAACACAGGGTGAGGGAAGTGGAGCAGAGTGGAGACATTGGTGGTGAGGAGTGGGGGTTGGGACGCTCGATGGTTGTGGTTGTCGTGGCTGACGACGAGCTTTGGTGGTGGCTGGATTAGGGTGAGGTCGCGACTGCGACTTGGCCTTGCGGTGGCTAGCAACAAATGCTAGGAGGTGCGACCAATGGCTCAACAAAGGGGACGATGACCTCAGAGTGGTGGTGCATCGTGAAGATGGTGGTGGAGGCCGCGAAAGGGGGGGGCCATGGTCGTGAGACGTGGTGGTTCCGGTGAGGGTGATTGGGTGAGAATCTGGAGGCTGGAAGCTGAGATGGGGTGCGACCGCGGGGTGGTTCTGCGTTGGTGAGAAGCTTTGGTGAGTGAAGGTGGAATTAGGGCACGGGTATGGCTGTGGTGGTGATGGGGAAGAAGCCCGGTGGTGGAGAGAATAGGGTTGGGTATATGGGTTCAAATGAGGGTACCGTGTGGGGTGCTCAAGAGTGGGGAGGCTACAGTCAAGGTTCTGGTGAAGGAGGTGGGCTACGGGTTATAGTGTAGGTTAGTGAAATTGAGGGAGAGGAAGGAAGGAGTTTGGAAGGTTGGGTGAGGCGCGGAGGAAGTGTGAAAATGAGGGTCCGAGTGAGGGGTTTTTTTTTTTTTTTTAATTACACATCCGTAGGTAAATGAGTAGGTAAAGTAGTAAAAGAACATTACCTACCTCCTATATCCGTAGGTAATGCATAATCATCTCATCTGTAGGTAAATTCCGTAGATAATAGATAATTTACATACGGATAGAATTCCGTAAATAATATCCGTATGTAATATATATTTTACCTACAGATTTTTATCCGTACATAATAATCCGTAGATAATCAGCTTTTTTTTTGTAGTGGTTGTCCATGTACCAGTCAAAGATTCAACGCCACCTATTTCTTCATGTGGAACTCGAGGTTGAGGAATTACTAAAAATGTTATCACAATATCTGATATGAATCACAAGGGGTAATTTAGGATCTTTAGGGTTAAAACATTGTAAGAAATTTAGGAATTAGAAAGAAGGTGGAAGGAAAGAATCACTCTTCCCAAGGGAGGCAACACACAAAGGATGTGACAGTCCTTTGATACAGCCAAAGGTTCTTGAATCACTCAAGAATTTAGGAGAATCACTCTCACTAAGATAAAAGGGATAAACTCTAATATTTCTGAATAAAATTCCACTTGTTATTTCTTGATAAGAATGGTTCAGTTGATATAGAAGCGTTGCCATCAGAATTACAAAAGACTCAATAAAAGAAAATAAATACTAATAATAACCCATTAATCTAGGAATTGAAAACTATTTAATGGAAACAAATAAAGGCTAATAATGATCCATTAACCTAGGAATTGAAACTACTTAATGACTGATTGTATCTGAAACTGTGACAACCAAAAGTCAATCAGTTATGCACCCCTTGGTCTCCCAAAGGCTAATGACTAAATTTTCAATTGGGCCCTTATTACAACTTAAAACAAAATCAAACTAAAGCCCATTAATTGATCAAAATACAATTTGGTCAACCAACAATACTTGTTGAAGAGCTTCCTTTGTTTCCCTTGTTCTAGCCCTTATCATAGGTCATGTTCACATCAATATCACTGTCTTTAGTTTCATAGACAGGGGTATAATAAGTTAATTTATAATCTTAACACCAACTTTAAACTCAATATTTGTTTTAGTCTCAATTTATGGTGACATAAATCTCTCACTACAACTCATAAATTAAGAATTCTTGAAACAATAAGGTTTATTCCTCATCATGATCTAGGTCAATTAATATTATCAATTAATCGCAAGGATGAATACACTGATTTTTTTAGTTTTAATGTTAATTTTTAGTTAATAATTATTATTATTTAATGATTTTATATTTTTAATGTTATTATTATTATAAAATTTATAATTAATAATTTTAACAATTAATAATTATATTAATAATAATAAAAAATAATATTAATAATAAAAATATTAAAAAATAAAGTAATTAATACTTATTATTATTATTATTATCAAATTTGTTACTTATTATAATTATTATTTTATATTAAAATTATCACTATAAATATTTTTATTGTTAATTATTATTATGATTAATTAATAATGATATTACTAAGAATAATAATTATAATAAATAATTTTATTTTTTGATATTACTATTAGTATTTTATTATTAATGTTAATTATTATTATTTTAATTATAATAAATTTAATATATAAAAATTTATTATATAAAATATATCAAATTGTACTTCCATACTTTTCCTACAAGACGAAAATAAAGATGTTAAAAATATTTAAAAAAAAATTTGAAATCATGTTTTCTAATACGATTTTAATGACAAAAAAAAATCATATTTAATGGGACGACTTCTTCTATATGAAATTATGTCATCAAGACTTACCCATTTATGTAGTTTTAAAATTACTTAAATCAGATTTTTCTTTTATTAAATTTGCACCAGTTAGGTGCTTTTGCCCTCCGTTATGTCTTCTACTCCTACTTAGATTCCCCATAGTTTTCATTATTTGAGGTTATATTTTTTTTCTTTTGTGTGTGTTTTCTCTAAAATGTTCCTTTCTTATTTACTTCTATCTCGTGTAAAATCTGTAAGTACTTGTTACTTTGTACCATAAGATTGATACTAATTTTATTTTAAACAAAAACCTTACTTGTAAATCAAATGATTTTCTAAAATTAATTATTTCCTTACCGAATACCTTCTAATTGTATACGTGTTATAGTCAATGAATGTATCTCTTATAAACGAAGAACCTGATACTGAGCAGAAGCAAATTCGTTTTGCTTCCAAGGCTTCTCAAATCACGAATGCTAATTTAGTATTTCTACCTTAAAAATTATTATGATTAAAAGTCCTTTTAATCATAGTCCTCCCCGGTTGTTGTTTGCCATTCGAATTGATTATGATCTAAACACCAAACAGAACATAGAAGAACGACATTGTCCTCACCGTACCGTTCAAAAAGAATACCTTAATTACAAACGATTTATCATAGGTAATCAAATCATTATTTTATGTGTAAAATTATAGAAGCATAATGGAAATGAACTTTTTATTTAAAGAAATATTTTAAATAAGTAGATTACGTCAGAAACTGTCAATATCACCATATACTTCATATTAAATCACACCGCAATTTAATCTCAGATCCATTTTATAGAAGACTTATATGATCCTAAAATACTTTGCATTGCAATTTATTTTCGACCAGAATTCGTCATCCCCCGATCGCCAAAAAAATTAGAAAAGAGAAGAAAAATAATCTATATGATCTATATGATTAAAACCAAATCACAAATGAAACAACAGCCACAACATGGAGCAGTGAAACTATTTTCCTTTTTTCCTAAAATGTTGAAACTGAAATTATGAGTAATTTACACATCTCTCAATTTAACAAACATCTTAATCAAAGATTGAAAGAATCAATCAAATAAGAAGGGCTCTTTGGTGACTATCTGTTTCCAGCAGTCCATTGACTTGGTCTTAGCTTTGAGTATACTCAATTTTGATTTGTAGTTTTTCCCAACACTCTATCGTAAAGATGGCAATCATCCAGAAGTAAAGGATGGAAAGGAAAAAACATTAGAGAAAACAAATACTTTTTTTTTATAGTAAAACAAATACATTAAATTGATATAAGCAAGGAACCCGCAAAGAACCTCATGGATTATGAACAAAATGAATGCAGTGTAAACAATGGGATATAAAGTCATGTTGAAGCAATTTACCACTATCTTCTGAAGCATTCTTATATTGTGCATGCACACGTGTGGACATACTCAGAAATATAGAGAGAAAGTGATACAGATTAATTTGGTGTTTCACCGGCAGGTCCAGGTCGTGCAGCCAGCAAAGGTTGAAGAGCTTTGACTACAATGCTCATGTTTGGTCTGAAATCAGCTTCATATTGCACACAAAGCGCAGCAACAGCAGCCATCTGAAATTAGCCAAGTATCATATGGTTATTCATGAGTATTGTTCTTAAATATATATTTAATCTTTTAAGGACAGTTGTCCTGGGTATCTGCGGTTCCTATAAAGATTTTCCGGAACAAAAAAATTGTGTATGGTTCCTACATTAAAATATTTGTATATTTTCCTCTGGCATAATGAATACCTTTGTCTCGTACCGAAATTGAGATCATAAACAACATAAAAAACACTGCTTCCAATTGCTCAACTAATCAATATATACAACAAATTTCCACCTATAGGGGAATCATACAAGATTTTAGATTTTTTTCAGTTTGGCCTTCTGCATTTTTAGTATTTACTACCAAAACAAAAATATAGAATTCGGATGCAACCTCTAGTAAGCTGCTCTGCATAGTTTTCCAGTTCATATGTATACGATTTCAGACAATATATAAGCTATAGAATATTTTCACGGACATTCAATACCACCTTAGCAAGAAAATAGAAAAATAAAGTAAATTGTGAAGAAAAGTACACAAAATGATAGTAAGAACCTTAGCAACAGCTTTGGGTGGGTATTCTCCTCCTAGTCTTGTATCAACACACTGCCTGACTTTATCCTCACTAAGTTTTGGTGTAGCCTGAAACAACATATATCAATTGTTCTCATCAGTGTCATTAGCTAGGGTTTTAGAGTCAACAGTAGACCACAATAAAAAGATTTAGCTTCTCCTCCTTTTGATTGGAGTGTGTTAGAGGAGCGTAAAGATAAGATGATATAGCTTAAATTAGTACCCAGGTAACTAGACTCTGCTGTCCGCGTGGTAATGTATGATCAACAGGTTTCCTTCCAGTCAGAAGTTCCAGAAGGACAACACCAAAACTGTATACATCACTCTTAGCATTCAATTGTCCAGTCATTGCATATCTGCATCCACAAGATTACACAGATGGTAATTCAGCAGTCTGTATGAGGCCAGAGCGCCAGATATAATAAAAATATCGTTTCTCCAAATTGATACTATGATGAAGAAACAAAAATTTTAAGAATTGGTAATGTTTGTTTAGTGACTTTTAGTCAACTGTAACAGAAATGAAATTGACAAGTTTGTAATCATGTCTTACTCTGGAGCATGATAACCAAAGGTTCCAAGGACACGAGTAGAATGAAGTCGTGCAGCCATGTCAGGAGCTTGATTTGATAAATCAAAATCTGCAATTTTAGCAACATCATCATCAAAGATTAACACATTGCTAGACTTGATGTCCCGGTGGATAATGTGGGGATCAGCCTTCTCATGCAAGTATTCAAGGCCTCTTGCAGCCCCTACAGCAATCTTTACTCTTTGTGCCCATGTCAAAACTGGACCAGGCTGTGCTCCTTTAACACCTTTTCTGCCTGCATGTACAAAGACAATTATGAGAAGATTTATATTTAATAAAAATACAGACTTGACTAGTTTATCTCTCAAGTGGCGACACTGCCTGTGAAGGCAACAAAACGAAAAGAAAACAATGTCAAAAGCCATGATCTCCTTAGCTTTTCTAACATATAGAAAAACAATTCAATTAGCCACTATAGATGTCAATAGTTTTCTAATTTGACCAATTGAAAGGAAAAACTATATACCATGTAAAATATCATGAAGAGATCCATTAGATGCAAACTCATAAGCAAGAATACGGGAGCTTCCATCAATGCAATATCCAAGTAATTGAACAAAATTTGCATGCTTCAGCCTTGATACCATTGAAACCTAAAAGTTAAAAAAAAAAAAAAAATACAGGGTTTATGGGAATTGAACAACTTAATGACCTGACAAAAAAATTATTAAAACAGTAATGTCACCAACATACCTGGGCTAAAAATTCCTCATCAGGCTGTTTACTGGTATCCAACTTCTTGATTGCAGCAGCCTGCCCACTTTTAAGCACACCATAGTATACTCTTCCATAGGACCCCTCTCCAATCAGAGAATCTTGACCAAAGTCATCTGTAACTTCTTTTAGTTCATCTGCTGGTATATTAGGAACTTCAATGGGCTGAGCTTTAACAGGCTGAGTGCCCTGCTTTGCAGTTTCAGAAGCATGATAATTTCCATCATTTCCTGTATAATAGAATTTATCACAATAACTTGGTCAAATTCAATTTTCATGGAAAATAACATCAAACAGATTAAAACGATGAAGTATTAATAATGAAGCTTTTCAATCACACATATTACATAATCAATCCAATTGACATGGAATTATCACTCAAAGATGCAATTGCTTAGAGTAGCAAACTATACATATATCATCAATGATGCATTGCTCTAGCATTTTATGAGCCAAATTACCTGCTGGATTTTTTACTACATAGGGTCCTCCACTTTCAGCAGATTTCTGGAGGTCATCCTCTTCGCAACAGCCGAAACAACTCATGATTCTTTCTCACTGAAATATTTCATTAGCTCATTAAGTCACACTACACAACACTTGATTTTTAATTTTTAATCTTGTATTTAAAAAAAAAATGCAAAAAAATGTTCATTCCTACTGTTGAATATAGAAGAAATAGAGTTTGGGATTAATCTCCCTTGTGTATAAATCACACATAGGGTAGTCTATTTATAGTAGAGAGATACAACTAAAAGAGTAACTGAAAGTAACGAGAATAAACAGAAGATATTGTTTGATATTATGGTTAATATCTAACAATATCTTAACAATATTAAATAATATCTAAACAATATCTAACACTCCCCCTCAAGCTGGAGCATACAAATCGTATGTGCCAAGCTTGTTACAAATATAATCAATTCTAGGACCCCGTAAAGATTTAGTAAAAATATTTGCTAACTGATCACTTGAGTTAACAAACTCGGTCTTGATGTCTCCGGACATAATCTTTTCTCGAATGAAATGACAGTCAATCTCAATGTGTTTGGTCCTCTCATGAAAGACAGGATTAGAACTAATATGAAGAGCGACTGATTGTCACACACAAGTGACATTTGAGTGACATCTCCAAATTGTAACTCTCTAAGCAATTGCTTGAGCCAAACAAGTTCACAAGCGGCTGATGCCATAGCTCTATATTCTACTTCGCACTAGATCTTGCCACAACACTTTGTTTCTTACTTTTCCATGAGACCAAGTTACCGCCAATGGAGACACAATATCCGGATGTAGATCTTCTATCGGAAGGAGATCCCGCCTAATCGAGCATCCGAGTAGCAAACAACTCTTGTATGGTTATTAGAATCATATAACAATCCTTTTCCAGGAGATCTTTTAATATACTTTAAGATACGAATGATCTGCATTCCAATGATCTTCACATGGGGAATTAAGAAATTGGCTTACCACACCGATTGCAAAGGAAATGTCGGGACGAGTAAGCTGTAAGATAATTCAATTTTCCAACCAATCTTCTATACTTGTTCAGGATCGGGTAAAAGCTCCCCCGATTTGGTAAAAGTTTAGTATTGGGATCCATGGGCGTATCAACGAGACTTTGAATTCATCAACCCAGTTTCCTCTAAAATATCCATGGCATACTTCCTCCGAGATATAACAATACCATCATTGGACCGTGCCACCTCAATACCCAAGAAATATCTAAGTTTGCCAAGATCTTTGGTCCGAAAATGGTGACAGAGATGTTGTTTCAATCGAGAGATGCCATGGTTGTCACTACCTGTAAGAACGATGTCATCAACATATACTATCAAGTAAACACATCCAGACACTTGAGTGTCGATAAAAGATAGAGTGATCTGCTTCACACCGAGTCATACTAAATTGTTGAACAACCTTGCTAAACTTTCCAAACCAGGCCCTAGGAGACTGTTTTAGGCCATATAGGGATTTGCGAAGACGACATACCATCCCGGAAGACTCCCCCGAGCAACAAACCCAGGAGGTTGCTCCATATAGATTTCTTCTTGCAAATCACCATTGAGGAAAGCATTTTTAACATCTAGTTGATAAAGAGGCCATTGTTGAAGAGCGGCCATGGCGATAAATAAACGAACGAAGTCATCTTTGCCACAGGGGAAAAGGTATCTCCATAATCCAAACCAAAAATTTGAGTATAACCTTTGGCCACAAGACGTGCTTTGAGGCGATCAATAGTACCATCGAGTCCAACTTTGATAGCAAACACCCACCTGCAACCAACAACAGATTTCCCAGGACGGTAACGAGACCAATTCCCAAGTTCCACTATTATGAAGAGCACTTAGTTCATCTAACATGGCCTGACGCCAACCAGGATGGGCTAAAGCTTCACGGACAGCTTTTGGAATGGTCACGAGAAGAAAGAGAGGAAAGACATGTATAAAAAGGTAATGACAGTCGATGATAACTCAAACCAATATAATGAGGAGAGGGATTACGTGTAGAACGGATACCTTTTCGGAGGACAATGGGAAGGTCGGACTCGGGTGTCACATCCGGAGGAGACAGAGTAGTTGGCACTTGAGTAGAGTCACATGGTGGTGGTTGTGATTGGTTTCGGCAACTATAAACCCGAAGAGGTAGTGAAGAAGAAGTTGATCACGGAGTAGAATCTAATGGTGAAGAAGACACAATTAGAGGGTCACAAACAACAGGAACATTAAATGTACTAGGAGTGTTGACAATATTGGATGGAGACAGAGGTGAAGATTGACTTTTAAAATAAAAAGAGAACTCATCAAAGGTGACATCTCGAGACACAAAATAACGGTTAAGAGAAGGAGAAAAACATTTGTATCCTTTTTGTGATCTTGTAAACCCTAAGAAAACACATTTATGTGATCTAGGAGAAAGCTTGTCAAGACTAGAACTAAAATTATGAACAAAACATGTAGACTCGAAAACTTTTAGAGGTAAGGGATGAAGTGGTTCATGAGGGAATAAAATGGAATGAGGTATTTTATTATCTAGAACCGAAGATGGCATGCGATTAACAAGATAACATGCAGTAAGAAGAGCATCACCCCAAAAATGCTGAGGAACCTCTCCATGAATTAAAAGAGTGCGAGTTGTTTCAATAAGATGTCTATTTTTACGTTCGGCTACACCATTTTGTTGAGGTGTATAAGCACAAGAAGTTTGATGCAAAATACCATGAGAAGCCATGAATTGTTTAAAAGAATGAGAAAGATATTCACGACCATTATCACTGCGCAAAACTCTAATAGAAACACCGAACCGAGTTTGAATTTCATTGAAAAAAGTTTGAAAGATATGAAATAATTCGAACGATTTTTCATCAAAAATAACCAAGTACATCCGGAATAATCATCAATGAAAGTAACAAAGTATTGAAAACCTAAAGTAGACTTAACGCGGCTAGGTCCCCAAATGTCGAGTGAACCACGGCAAAAGGGAACGAAGCACCACGTGTGACACTACGAGGAAAGGAAGTACGACTATGCTTGCCTAATTGACACGACTCACATGCCAAACTAGATAATTTAGATAAGGCGGGGACAAGTTGCTTGTAACTTGGCAAGACTTGGATGACCTAACCGAGCATGGAGAAGAGAGGGAGACTCTATAATCGCACCAACATGTGTAAAGGGACGAAGATGATAAAGACCATGAGACTCACATCCTGTGCCAATCACCTGTTTCGAACTCCGGTCCCGTAAACACACGAAATTGTTGGTAAAAGAAACAACACAATCAAGAGAACGAGTTAGACGACCGATGGATAACGAGGTTAAAAGGAGACCCGGGGACATAAAGAACATTATCAATGGTTAAAGAAGGGAAAAGTTTAACGGTTCCAACACCATGAGATGATGCTCTAGAGCCATCAGCTAGTGTAACAAAAGGTAAAGGATCGGGAGAGGATAAAGAGGAGAACAAAGATTTGTTACCGAGTAATATGATCGAGTGGCTCCTGAATCAAAAACCCAAGGACCGGAAGAAGATTGGGTCGGACCAGACAAAAGATGTACCTGTGTGTGCGACAGACACGGTAGAACTAGAAGACTGTTGATCCTTATACCATTTGAGAAATTTGTTGAACATAGCGAGGTGTGTCCGATGAAATAGAAGAAGGAGGATCCTTAGCGAGATAAAGGTGGGAAAAAATCGGTCCGAGCAACTGCAGTAGATCGAGTAGGACGACCATGTAATGCATAACACTTGTCAATCTTGTGACCTAGTTTGCCACAATGTTCACACTCATGTAATGCATAACACTTGGTCAATCTTGTGACCTAGCTTGCCACAATGTTCACACTTAGGACGTCCTTTTCCCTGTTTGCGAGGGCGAGTTCGATCATCACGGTGAGATACCAATGCGGAAGAATCATTAACGAAGCAGGTGTGTCGGGGTTGAGTTTCTGTTGGTATACGCAAAAGAGTGGAGCAGGTCGATGTCAAGGTGGGGACAACCGGAGAACCCAAAATCCGATCACGAATATGTGAATATTGATCGGCAAGTCCGTGTAATGCCCCTAGCATGAAGAAGTTTGATCGTTGTCCTATCTCGGTGGCGGGGTCGGGGAAGGAGGCAATAACTCATTGAACTCATGAAAAAGAGCATGAATTTTGCCCATATAATCGGTCATAGAATCTTGATGTTTAGAGGAAATAACATCTACAAATTTAGAACGAGACATCATAGAGACGTTGAGTATCATTGGTGTATAATAACTTGGCATGTTCCCGGATTTTTGCACATGTTTCGTAGGAACGAAAAATTTGTTTTAACGAAGGATCAAGGGTACCCTTGAGAACCACGCATAATTGAGCATCAATGGTGTCCCAACGGTCTTCCTCACCGGGAGTGAGAGTAGGTGCTTTCGGGGCAAGATGATCAAGATACTTCGACTCTTAAGCCATAATCGACGTCCGATGACCATGTGGCATAATTAGGGCCGGTTAACTTGTCAATGGATAAGTGCACATTAACATAGTTAGTGTAGATGGAAGGATCGAGACGCAGATCTTGACGAATTGGAAGTACTAAAAGGAGCGGAAGAACTCATAAAGGGCGAAGGCGATAGTGACAGCGGCGTGAACCGAGTACACCAGGTAAGTTCCCGGGAAAGAGAGGTGGGTCACTAATGGACACGCTTAAATACCAAGTCTTTCCTTGTCAGAACTTTCCTAGACATGCACTTTCACACTACCAAATAACCGACAACGATAGCGGCGGTGGTGACGACTTCAATAGTGGTCTAAGGCCAAAAAAAAAATTCAAAATAACCTTAAGCTCTAGATACCATGTTGAATATAGAAGAAATAGAGTTTGGGATTAATCTCCCTTATGTATAAATCACACATAGGGTAGTCTATTTATAGTAGAGAGATACAACTAAAAGAGTAACTGAAAGTAACAGAATAAACAGAAGATATTGTTTGATATTATGGTTAATATCTAACAATATCTTAACAATATTAAATAATATCTAAACAATATCTAACACCTACAAACTATAAGACACATCCTGGTGAAAATTGCAACTTTCATCAATTCAAAAGGAAAGAAGGAAGGAAATACCGCTGTTTGGTGTAGTTCCACCTAATTACAATGAGTTCGACCTTTATAGTATTTTAGAATATTTCATTTGCATGATATGGAAATTTGAATAGACGCAATGCTTTCATTCATATCGATTAAAACACGCAATATAGCATTGTCTAACTCTTAGAAAAACCATCAAATACAAAACTGAGATTATTAGATTCTAAATTGTTTGCAGTTTCATCATGCTCCAACAACTAACGATATGTAAAAATTTCAAAGAAGTGAAATCAGCGCTTGCGTCTACTCCACTGTGATAAGCTCAACGTTTTGGTAAGCAAAATCTCAATCGTTACAAAAGCCAAACAGAAACGGATCGAAACAGTTTCCGCCAATCAGAGCAAAGTGCAACTAAAGTCTATGCCTATCAGTCACAGATCAGTGAAACGCGGAACCAGTTAAAACGGCCGATATCAAATTTTGCCAGAAAATAAAAAAAAATCATCCAAAAAAAAGTAAAAACGATCGCCAAATTGAAAATTACACGGAGAAATACTCTTTGCGAAGTGACATTGAATAGTGTGAAAGATCGATGAGTACCTCAAACAAAATGCAATGACAAAATGGCGGAATTGAGTGTATAGGTCCGGAGAGTGAGATTGGAAGGGTAGGATCTCGGTTCCGAAAGCGGCAAAGGAGGCGCAGGATAAGCAGGGAGGAGTGCGTAGGATAAAAGAGTCGAGGAAGTTCTTGACTGGCTTTGAATTGGGATTATGGTTGTTGTGTTGTGTTACAGAGTTACAAGTGTATTATTAGTTACAGAGTTTAATTCGTTTTTATGAATACATATCCTCTAAAATACAACTAAATATCATGATTATTCATGGAATATTTAAATGCCCCACTAATTCAGCCTCTTTTTCTCTCCTTTTACGTCGTCTGCACCGACCCTGCTAGCCAGACTTGACTTCCGAGGTATACACACTGCACATACACCGCTGGGGTACAGTAAAGTGCGAACAGGTCTGTGCCTCGCCGTGTTTTAATTACTTTATTACGAAAAAATATGTTTTTATTCATAATTTAAAAATTAAAAATAGTTATGGGAAAACTTATTGAATTTTATTAAATATAAAGTTGTCTAAGCTACTATTATCCGTACAATAATCATTATTACTATCATAATTAGAAATAAATATATTCTATTAAATCCATTTACTGCTACTTTCTATTTTATTCGTTGAACTTAAAGCATATTAATTGCGGCAGTTAGTTGAGTATAATTATTAAAACAGTTATAACAATTTACACCGTTATAACAATCGCTGGGATTTTCATGTTTCTCATCTTTTGGAAAGTTTGGTACACAATGTTTTCAAAGTTATAAGTTATTTTAATCTACTCTTGGAAAGGCCAGACTAATGTAATCATACTTTAGGAAAGTTACATCCACTAATTATTTGTCATACAATAATAACTGCTAACGCGTGTTTTATGTGTTCAAAATCGCGTTTGGAACTTTTACCAAACTATATATAACGTAATGATAAAAGCTATGCCACTTTAGACTAACCCTAGGATTCGTTTAAACTTTGGTAGAATTTATTTTGAAGAAATTAAAAATTCCTAAGACCCAACTTGACAATTCATAGCAGAAAATAAGAAATGTGAATGAATAGTCATAAAGTCTAGCATTGAGCCAGTCAATAAGGACTGGGTACACTCAGAATGAAAGAACTAAAGAAGCACAACTCCTGTTGAAAAAGAAAATATTGAAGTTTTATAATCACAACCTAGATAGGAATAATAGAGTTGGAATTAGTGCTTGGCCTAACTCTGAATATTCCATGGTTCTCCAAATGGCCTAAAGTTTCGGAGGGTTTGGTATAAGTTATACATATCAGTATAATTTATAAATGACAATTAAGTTGACCAAATCAATCAACAATTGAAACTAACAATGTTTTTAATAAAATAACATCAAGATAAAATTAGCGTGACGGATTTTAAATAGATTCACAAACCCTGATGAATTTTCAAACTATAGCTAGATATTGTCTATCAATCATGCTGAAGCGAGGCAATTATTGCGTTAATAATGCACAAATTGTTCTGCTGGAAGATTTTGGTTTTTCATGAACCAAAATACACTGATGTGTAGTGATGATGAAGGAATCGAATCAGTCACCTGTTGTCTCGAAACATTGCAACGTGACCGATATTTCGCGAATCACGAATTAAGGTATCGAGCTAGACATGTTCTAAGCAATAATATTGATGCACCTCAAAAACTGGCTAAACTAAACGTATAAAACAAAGAGTGTCAACTCGAAGGGGATCCTAAACGGATTCATGCATGTTGCGAGATGAATTGGCACGGAATTAGTATGTTAATTAAAGGAACAAAGCTAAAAAGATAGAACAGAAATTCCAAATTCTCGTGCCTGCGTCAGCCTTGCGTTGTCTCCTAGTTGGGACTTGAGCAAATTGGGTTGCTTTGTGTTCTTTGGCAGGTTGTGGTGATGGTGTGTGGTGTGGTTTCTTTGGAGTAAAAATATTGGAATTTTGTGAGTGAGTAAATAAATGCCCGGAGCAAACCAATAAGTGGGGTGTAGTGGTTAGACATAAAAGTTGTGGGGGGGAATTTATATATGATGGAAATTTGTTTTCAATAATATTATGAATGATATTAGTTTGTAGTTCAGTGAATCTGAGAAAATTGATAAAAGAAAATGGGCGAAGGGAACAGTGGAGAACATTTACGCGGTTTTGGTTGGATTTGTGGGCTCGCCTCATCATGCATGTGAGAAAGAAAGAGGTATTGTTTGGACATAATGGAAAAAGTACAACTCTCGTTCATGCGTTCAACCCATTATTTCAGTTTGCTAGTACTCGTAAAAGAAATAGAATGGATCCATGGTTTGTTCTTTCAAGTTCGTAATAATTTGCCTAAACTAAAATTTATAATTAATAAAATTATAAGGGCTTGTTTGATATAGTTTTTTTTTTTAAACAGTTTTAGAGATAAATTTTAAAATATTATTTTTAAAAATAAGTTTAAAAAACAATTTCATAATTTTATTTTATTTAGAATTATTTTAAACTAAAGAGTCTCACAAGATATATTTAAATCATTCTATAACACAAGGCATGACTTCTAGTATGTTCTTTTCAATAAATCCTGATGGATTTGACAAAAAGATATTTTAAATGCAATTTTTAACTCAAAACAATAATAAATGATGTTTTTTACAATTTTTTACCTAAGATAATAATTGTAAAAGAGTTAAGTTGTGAATCTGATACTATATTAAAGTTTTAATGTAAAATTAATTAAAAATATATAAAATAATTTAATAAGTATTTAAATCATATCTTATATTAGATATAAGATTTTTATCGTATTATTTGACATGTTCTTAAAATATGACTTATATTATAGTATTTGTTGAAAATAAAGAAAATTTGATAATTAATCTATTCATAATATAAAAAAAAAAAAGATAAATATACGTTAAAGGTGATTACCCTTTTAATTATTATACACTAAAAAAATACTGTTGAAGTCTATTAAGAATCACTTAAAAATATAAATATTTTATTTATGAAAAAAATATCTTATTTCTATATTTATTTTATCATATTTTTAAATAAAAGATAATATATAGTAATATTTAATATTATTGAATATTTATTTGAAAATATTTAAATTTTAAATATTTTAAACATTCTCTATGAATAATGAAATTTATATATAATATTCAAATATATTAAAACATATTAATTTAAATGTTTCTATTGTTTATCTATGTTTATTAATATATTTAAATTATATTTATTTAACTGTCTCTCAGTATATTTAAATTATATTAAAGAAGTATTTTATGTATATTATTTACTATTTTAAAATATTTTATTAAAATAAAAAATAATTATAAAAAGATAATTATATTCTAAATATATATTTATTTCACAAATTTTTAATAATTTATTTAGAATGAATATAACACACAATAATTATAAAAATGTGTTTTATTGATATTTTTTAATAAAACATATAAGATTCTCAAAGTAACGTTTTTTTTTTCATTTGTTAATGTGGGAAGTTAGATTAGTAGTATTTGTTTTTACACTACAAATATAATTAAAGTTATTATATCGTTATCAAGAAGTAATTAAAAATATATTTTATTCTTTAATAGAAATTTACTAAATTTTAGATATATTTTTATATTATATATATTAGAATAATTTAAATATACGTCATTGTTAATCAAGAGTTATGGATAAAAATAATTTCTTATTTAGGATAATGAGTTAAGGTGCCACACGTTTAGTGGTCTACTCGAACAGTCTATATCCAGCTTCGATGAATTGGCTAAAGTCTTTGTTGGTCATTTTGCTGCTAATAAACAAAGGGCACCCAAGACGAGTGATTTGTTTGATTTGCGACAGGGACGAACCGAATTCATAAGAGCATTGTTGCACCGATTTGGTAGCATGATCGTTAGGATCCTATCTCCAAACGAAACCATGTTTGTGGACGCCTTTATGAAAGGGTTGAGGGCAGACCCTTTTATGGAATTTTTATACAGGCATCCATGCAAAACTATGAAAGAGGTTCGGGCACGAGCCGCATCACATATCAAGGTTGACAATACAGTTTCTCAGCGCCAGGCTGAAAAACAATTGGAGTTGTAGTAGGACAATGCAGTAATACCCTTTCGGGCCCGAGATTTAGAGGGGTCGTCCAGCCAAAAGGGTTATCATCCTTATGACAAGCGCAACAATCCTAATCGACAAGTACCCAACCAACATTCGGATATGGCTCCATTACTCAATCAAAGGAGTTATCATCCTTATGACAAATGCAAAAAACCCTAATCGACAATTCATGGGGCCCAATACTAGACAATATCAGCAACAACCTATTCCACTTAACGTGTCGAAGAAGCAATTGTTACAAGAGGTTAGAGCAACTAGACTCCTCGAATTCCCTCGCATCACCCACAGGCAGCTCGGACCCTGTTAGATATTGTTCAGATATTGTTAAGATATTGTTAGATATTGTTAACCACAATATCAAACAATATCTTCTGTTTATTTTGTTTACTTTTGGTTACTCTTTTAGTTGTACATTTCTCTAATATAAATATATTACTCTATGTGTTATTTATACACAAGGGGAGATTAATCTCAGACCATATTTCCTCTATATTCAACATGGTATCTAGAGCTTAAAGTTATTTTGAAATTTTTCGCCTTTGTCCAATACTGGAGCCGCCACCACCACCGTCGTTGCCAATTAAACTGATCTTCCACATCAGAAAAGAGTTATTTTTGTTACGGGATATTATTTAGTAGTGTGAAAGTGCATGTCTAGGAAGTTTCTAACAAGGAAAGACTTAATATTTAAGCATGTCCATTAGTGACCCACCTCTCTTTCTTGGGAACTTACCTGGTGTATTGGTTCACGTCATTGTCATCGTTGTCGCCGCCTCCGCCGCCACCACTGGAGCCACCGTCGGAGTGTCATTTTTTACCAGCAACATACAGTTTTTCTCGTCTTGGTCAGGAAACCATCGTGCCATTGAGATCACCATTATTAGAGTTGGTCATTCGTTGTCTTCTGCGTCGTTTAGTCTCGACGGACTTGTTTTGGTCTTCTCGTTTTGGATCTGTGCTTCGTGGGTTGATTGGATTACTTTGGATTTTTTTTAGGGTTTGTTCTCCCACCCTTCATGACTTTTTCCACTCCTTCTACTACTTCTAATTCTGTTAATGATTCTTCTGCGTTGGCATCTCACCATGATGACCGGACTCGCCCTCGTAAACAGGGAAAATGGCGTCCTAAGTGTGAACATTGTGGCAAACTAGGTCACAAGATTAACAAGTGTTATGAATTACATGGTCGTCCTCCTCGATCTATAGTAGTTGTTCAGACCGATCTTTCCCCACTTTTGTCTACTGGGGATCCTCCTTCTTCTGTTGCATCTGACACATCTACCATGTTCAACAAATTTCTTAAATGGTATAAGGATCAACAGTTTTCTAGTTCCACTACATCTATCGCACACACAGGTACATATTTTGCTGGTCTGACCCAATCCTCTTCTCCTAGTCCTTGGATTTTTTATTCAGGAGCCACTGATCATATTACTGGTAACAAATCTTTGTTCTCCTCTTTATCCTTTCCTAATCCTTTACCTTCTGTTACACTGGCTAATGGCTCTAGAGTATCATCTCATGGTGTTGGAAATGTTAAACTTTTCCCTTCTTTAACCATTGATAATGTTCTTTATGTCCATGGGTCTCCTTTTAACCTGTTGTCCATCAGTCGTCTAACTCGTTCTCTTGATTGTGTTGTTTCTTTTACCAATAATTTTGTGTGTTTACAGGATTGGAGTTCGAAACAGATGATTGACACAGGATGTGAGTCTCATGGTCTTTATCATCTTCGTCCCTCTACACATGTTGGTGCAATTATGGAGTCTCCCTCTCTTCTTCATGCTCAGTTAGGTCATCCAAGTCTTGCCAAGTTATAGAAGTTTGTTCCTGCCTTGTCCAACTTGTCTAGTTTGACGTGTGAGTCGTGTCAATTAGGCAAACATATTCGTACTTCCTTTCCTCATAGTGTCACACATGGTGCTTCATCCCCTTTTGTCGTGGTTCACTCTGACATTTGGGGACCTAGTCGTGTTAAGTCTACTTTAGGTTTTCAATACTTTGTTACTTTTATTGATGATTATTCCAGATGCACTTGGTTATTTTTTATGAAAAATCATTCTGAATTATTTCATATCTTTTAAACTTTTTTTAATGAAATTTAAAATCAGTTCGGTGTTTCTATTAGAGTTTTGCGCAGTGATAATGGTCGTGAATATCTTTCTCATTCTTTTAAACAATTCATAGCTTCTCACGGTATTTTGTATCAAACTTCTTGTGCTTATACACCTCAACAAAATGTTGTAGCTGAACATAAAATATAGACATCTTATTGAAACAACTCGCACTCTTTTAATTCATGGAGATGTTCCTCAACATTTTGGGGGTGATGCTCTTTTTACTGCATGTTATCTCATTAATCACATGCCTTCTTCTATTTTAGATAATAAAATACCTTATTCCATTTTATTCTCTCATGAACCACTTCATCCCTTACCTTTAAGAGTTTTCGAGTCTACATGTTTTGTTCATAATTTCAGTTCTGGTCTTGATAAGCTTTCTCCTATATCACATAAATGTGTTTTCTTAGGGTTTACAAGATCACAAAAAGGATACAAATGTTTTTATCATTCTCTTAACC